AACATACATGTATGTTGCCGGCCTTCTTCCAAGTTTGAGGCATGTGCAATCCTTCCAATCTGCACGAGTCTGTTAGCAAGTTACCGCCAATGATTTTGCCTTTATACCTTCTGATCGGCTGTGGCCACTCACAGTACAAACATACAGGACTTTGTACACAGTAATCTGGCTGTTTCTTCTTCCTGAAAAGCAGGGGGGAAAAACAGCCAGTTCTGTAAGTAAAAGCAAGACGTTACACACATTAAACTTGGCATACAATTAACCCTCTAATTTCCCCTTGATGTTTACCCCTTCCCAATCAGTGTCATTAGTACAGTGTACAGTATTATCACTGACCACAGCAGGGGTGTGGAAATTAAATAATAAAAAAAAAAAAAAAAAACTTGTCCAAGGACTAAATCTGGGTCCCAATCTACTTGTCCTCATGACAATCTACTTTTCCTCTTGACTATCTACTTGTCTTGAGAAAAAAGATTAATTTTAACCAAAACCATATTTAAATAAGGCCTAATTTGTTATAATACTTCTGAATAAGACAATTTTATCACTAGGGATTTTCACTGGACGTATGTCCCTTTTTAACCTTGAAATGGCTTTGCCAGGATGGAAAATACAAAGGGTTGATGTTTTTTATTAGACAGAAGTGCTTTTAGGAATGTCTGGGGCTTTTAAAAATGAAAGGGGCTTTATAGTGACCTAAACTTTTTATTATTTTTAACATTGCACTGTTTATCCTACTTACCTCCCTGCCTGTATCCAGCACCGAACCTGGGGACTAGCAGGGAGGGGAGAGACCTTGCAGTGTGATGGGCACCGATTGGGTTCTCATCAGGAAAGGGGAGTGTCGGTCTTTCAACGATCAGCAGAGGCTCATCTGCTAAGTGAGTAAATTACCCTCGCACACGGAAGCACTTGGGTACTCAGTACAAGCGCATGCTGAGCAGAGAAATCAAACTCCGGTGTCCATACGGGTTGGATCATTTTTTTTTGTTCAACCTGCTGGTTGAATGAAAACTATAACTAATGTATGGACTGCCTTACAGAGTCTACCTTAAACAAGAATTTCATTAATACTAGCAACTCTTGGGACAATGAGCATCTTAGTCAGGTCTATGTACAGTAAAATGTATAGAGTACAGGGGTCAGGAGTAAGTAAAAAAAAAACAAAACATATGGAGTGCATCGGTAAGGATGAGACCCATGTTCACATCAGAAACCTCCCTTGCATCAAAGTCCCCAGCATTACCTCTATACATTGGAGTGCGCCCTTACATCGGGTAATAGCGAAAAGCACCCTTACATCAGACCATGGCTGAGTGCGCTCTTGCATCACAGTTCAGTTGCTAACTGGACATACAATGATTAGGTGTGTGAAGCTCCTAAAATAACAGAGGGGAGGGAAATAGATGGGAAAGCTGCAGAGATCATTCACTCCATGCTGCTCTTTGCTGGCTCAGACAGCAGCATTATTGGTGCAGCCAGATGGATCTTCAAATTTCCTGCCCACGCATTCCCTTCCTCAAGTAATCACTGGCTCAGGTTGGAGTGTGGGTGGGGCAGAAAAAGGAGAGCGGTGGAAAGAGAGCAAAATGGTACCTCTCTCCTCTCCCCGTCTGTGGGGAGGGAAGGAGTGTGCTCGCTGGACAACTGTTACTCACCGTGCACATCTGCACATTCTGCCATGTTTACTGACAGCCTTGCTACTTGCCCGCAGCAGGTCTAAGTGAAAGGAAAAAAAACCTGCCCGGCGCCCAGAACTACATGTCCCAGGCATCGGGCGATAGGATTTACACATCTGTGTCACTGTATTAGTAACGTCCGTGTCATTCAGTCAGCATTTCTCCCAGCCAGTGTCTGTTAGAGCCAAATTGCCCGCCACACTATCACAGTCCCACTATAAGTTACTGAACACTGTCCTTACTAGCATCGTGTCATAGCTGCGTATGTGTATATGTATGTGTGTGTATGTATGTATGTGTATGTGTATATATATATATATATATATATATATATATATATATATATATATATAAATAAGTTTTGGACACTATAACTTTCCAGTTAATATACACTTATTGGGATTTTTTTAACAACCAGAAACAATTGAGTACAGTCCGTGATACTTTTTTTATTTGCACTAACATACAATTTTGAGGACAAGCTTTCGGGGTGTGTCCCCTTCTTCAAAGTCCAAGCAGTACTATACAAATCCCAAAGTTTCAGCAGAATGTTAGAAGGGATGCAAAAAAAAAAAAAGGCTAGAGATAAGATACAGCAAAAGGGAGGGGGGGGATACTACACTCACACAGAGGGAGTCAAGCTTGAGCTATTCGTCATAAAACTGTTGGATAATGAGTGAGGAATCCCATGTCCAAAGTAAGGTCATTATCTCTTGTGTCCAATAGAATTATCATTCTTAGTTCAAAAGTTTTTCTTTCCTGAATGGATTTGAAATTTCCTTTAAGAACTAAAATATTGAGGCCTCCCATTGTGTGGTCTGGTTGTGTGAAATGGTGTCCTACAGGTGTGCAGAGGTCATGTTCTTTATGTTCCTTGATGGTATGTCTGTGCAAATTCATCCTTGTTTGCAACTTCTGTCCTGTTTCGCCAACATAATATTCTTTGCTACACTTTCTGCACTGGATAAAGTACACAACATTACTGGAGGTGCAGCTGTATGATCCGGAGATATTGAAGATCCCTTTTGAGTGTCTGACACTTTTTGATGGATTGATTTGGTTGCACAGTTTGCAGCGTTTCTTATTGCAGGGTTTGCTTCCATTATTTGTGACATCATTATCAGAAGGAAGTTTCCTACTGATTAGTTTATTTCTGAGGTTGGGGGGTTGTCTGAAGGCCAGTATTGGGGGTTGTTGGAATATTTCTTTCAGAGTTCCATCCTCTGTTATGATGGGTTGTAAATCTTTGATTATTTTTCTTATTCCTTCTAGTGCTGGGTTGTATGTGGTTACTAGAGGTACACGGTTGTTTGTTTTTTACTGAAGTAGGTTTTTCCTTCGTGTTCTCAAAGCTGTGTTTATGCCGGTGTTGATAGTTTTGTCCTTGTAACCTTTCCTATGGAAAGCGTCTGCTAGTGTCCCGAGATGTTTATCTCTGTCTCTTGGGTCAGAACATATTCGGTGGTATCTAATGGCCTGACTGTGTATATGGCACGTTTTTGTTTTTTTTTTTAACAAAGACATGTAGCAGAATGCATTTTGACCTAAGTTTATGAAGAAATTTGATTTAATTTGGGTACAGCTGCATGACTGAGCAATTGCCAGTTAAAATAGTGCAGTGCTGAATTGCAACAAAAAAAAAAATAATAAAGGGGGTAAAACGTTCCAGAATTTAAGTGGTTAAGTAATGCTCCTCTCCTGGCTGCTTCATTATGACATGCAGAGTGTAAGGGAATGTATCTAGGGAATTGACACTTTCTGAAGAGTCCATTCCCTAACAAGTTCAGGGAGATCTTGCAAGTCAATTTTTTTTTTTTTTTTTTTTTTTTTGTAATTGATGACCTGGTCTCTTCAAGGTAAAGTGTTTTATTTATTTCATTTTTTTTTCCCCACCTTTTAATATATGAAAATCTTCAAATAGCTTCCTGGTCGTTTAGCCTGTGTCACAGACTTAACATTACGCAGCCTTTTCAGTTCTTTCTGTCATGGTATCACTTTCATGCAGACAAACAATCCAGCTAGGAAACCTGATAGAGGCTGTAAACCTTTTGAGTGAGTCATAGTTGTGTTGGCCACTTTAAAGTTTATGTACTCACATCTAGCGTGACAGCGGAACAGTCTGCAACTTACTCACTGTTTGTTTTAGGCAGCAAGGAGGTCAATTTAAGCAGGAAACTATAAAGCATTAGGAAAGGCAAAGTGGATGACTTGATGGTTGCTCATTTGCATATTAAGATTCAGTCCTTAATCAAACATTGTGCAAGGGTGGGAGTTCAGCAAAAGGGATTAGCTGTCAGGAAATCCACATTAGTTGGCCAGCTAGTGTGTGTTGTAGGCCTATCAGGATGACTTGTGGTAAAAGTATGGAAATGTGGTCTCTTGCGTGGGATGTGTGCTGGTTTAAGAGCAAAATGTATTCACTGGATGCCTTGTGATGTTTTGGGAACAAGTGTTGTGACAAAGCACATCAAAGTGAATATCCAGCTGAGTGCTACCACGTTACTAATTGAGTTAATTAGAAACAGGTCCCCAGACCAATTATCTCTTTCTGGTCTTGCAGGTCTGGGCAAAAGCTAAGAACAGAAGCTGAACTACTACCTTTTAATAGAATATCAGCCTCAGCGAACAGTCAGAGGTCTGCTAGATCCTGACTAGTTTATAACTATAGGCAATGATTAAAGCAATCTCCTTCAAAAGTCATGAAACTGTTTCAGACAGTTTTGAAATGTAAAGTCTTATATTGAGCCATCACAATATGGGGAAAATATCCTGCCTTGCGATAGGCTAGGGGAGCAGGAGTTACCTAGGGTGGGGTTATAAAAAGTGGAGGCCTTGCGAATGGCATGACCTGAATAGAGAGGTTTACCAGTGATTTGAAGAAAAGCCATTGGAGGGAGCTAGTGGCAGTGTCTGCAGACTTGTGTCTAAATTGATCATCTAATGTATTAATCAGTAGGTGTTATGAGATCACAGGAGCCTGTGCATTATCTTTTTTTTTTAAAACATATATTTTAGCTTGTTGGTATTATTCTTATACCATTGTGTTGCCAGTGAAGAACTTGTAAGGCGTGAAAGGCAAAGTCCACCATTTGCCAAAATGTAATAACTACATTATTTAAAAAAATAAATATACACTTTCGCATTAGATCTTGAAGAACATTGCAAACCATTCATCGTAGGCACACATACCAGGCTTCTGAAGGCCAGGAAGTCAATGGTAGACTACAAATGTGGTGGTGTCATTGTTGGGTGTTTTTTATGACTTAATGAGCTTTTCTTATTGGTTTATCATTTAGCAATGTTTTTTTTTTTTTTCCTCAGCATGTTGGCTGATAAATTGAATATGAGCCCTGAAGAAGCTGAAAGGTGGATAGTCAATTTAATTCGCAATGCCAGACTGGATGCAAAGATTGACTCTAAATTGGTAAGATTTCTCTTTATTTGCTTGGTTTGTCAAACTTGGTAAGGCCTGTAAAATGTTTTTTTAAACTGCCTCTAGAGAAACAATTTAAAGGATAGGTTCACCTATTTAAACATATTACACCCATATTTAGGGTGTACATGTTCACGCAAACTGCCTCTTTCTAACCCCCCCCCCCCTCTTCTCTGTTACAATGGACAGAAGTTCCTTTTCCCCACAGCTGCTGTAACATTTTAAAATTGGTGCAGCAATGCGAAGCCCTACATGAACAGCAACAACATTCATTCACAGGAATCTGTGAATGAAGAAACTACAAGTCCCATCTACCACCGTGGCAGATGGCTTGTATTTCTCAATGGACTGTGAGGATGCTGATGAGCTCCTTCGTAGTTCATTTACATTTTCTCCAGCTTTCAAAGAGCCCGTAGAGAGCTGTGGTCAAGAAAGGTGCAGGCAGTGTCTGCAGGAGCCTGACCTTGCACCTTTTGATCTACTGATCCTGAGTCTGTTCTGCAGGATCCTGTGAAAAAAAAAATGCCCTTTTTTGTCCTGCAATAATATGTATTTATTATTTCAGAAAGATGAATTTGGCCTTTACCTTGAATCTTCTGTAGCCAACAATCCTGTTAGGTTCATTACAAGGAATATTACAACTATAGAAATTCTCTGAGCCCACCGGTGTCATGTAACAAGAGGCTCAATTAAAACTTCCTAAATCTTTTGTAATCTTGCACTTTGGCCTAAAAAAAAAAAAAAAAAAAAAAATGGACTGGATTTCCAACTTAAAGTAACAAGGTTTTCATTAGCAGTCCAGTGATTGACTGGCACTGTTGATCATCCTTACAAAAAATGTATTGTTGCTGGTGGTCATTGGGGAGCAGGAACACATCTGAACTCTTCTTCTGTCTCTTGGGAACTCAATAAGTGATAGATATCATAAATGTCCTCCTTAACCTAGTCTACTTTGCTGAAGATATAAGAAAACCTTGAACTATTTTTTTTTTTTTTTTTTTTTTTTTTTAAGGGACTCCACTTTCCCTTCCCATGCTAGCTTTATCCTCTACTATAGATCATCAGATGATGTGGACCTTGAGCTGCACCTTGTTTTAGTTGTCACTCCTGTCCTCTTATGAGCCAGCAGGCTGCAAAGCTTTTCTCTATAGACCTTAATGGAGAAACAATCTACTTGCACCCCTAAGTGAAATGGCCGCATATGTGCAGCGTACATGGTTCGAAAAACAGAAGCGCTGCTAGGAATAGACAGTAGTTACTAGTTTTAAAGTTCTCCTTTAGGGACACGTTACATGTTACAGCTGTATTTAGGCTGTAATGCGGTAATCACCTGCTTGCAGTTTTCAATGGACTATGAGTGTGCCGATTCCATTGACACTTTCTCCAGCTTTCTAACGAAAAGCTTGTACAGAGGTGTGGGCAGAAAGCTGGGAGACTGTGTCTTCAGGAGCCTGACATTGTACCCTCGATCCACTGTTGGCACGTGCAATGCTTTGCAGGCTCCTGTAGGAAAAAATAATAAATGCATATTATTTTTCTGCAAAAATATGTGCATTTATGTATTTATTTTTTTCCCTAAAGGTGAACTTGGCCTTTTAACATTGCCAGCTGATTTTAGATGGTGTTGGGGAAGGGGGGGTGTAGGCATTTCAGGCATGTCTAAACTCAAACAGGAGCTTACCCCTTCTTAGATGTGGTTGTTGCATTTCTGTTTGTTTATTTGTTAATTTTTTGATATTACTTGTCCCTAGTGCTCACAATGCTGTATCTATATGGGCAACCATGATGGTTCGAAGTATTAATGTGCATTATTAATGCATTGGTGTATCAAAGCCTGATTATACGTATTGGCAGGAATTCAGGAGAGGACAAAGATTATAGAAAACCACTGTGGTAGAAGAAAAAACAAACCTTTGGTAATCACCAGGTCACTGAGACCTTCATGATCATCATCATTAATTGCCACTTGTATTTATAGTTTCTTGTTAGTCATGGCAATTTTTGGTGCATCTAGAAATTACCCGCAGCACAGAGTCCTAGCAGTGACTGATGTAGTCATTTAATTATTCTCTTTGTGTTTGTAGTATTTATTGGTCAGTTTTGTACAGATTTACAGTTTTCTGTGTCTGTTGTGTCCAGAGCGCTCTCACTTACACGGTTGTCCTTGTGATTGTCCTCTGATTTATGATTGGTTTGAACAGCCTGTTCTTTCTATAACCCATCATAAATACTGCAAAGATGGTACATAACGGTTCTCTTCCTATCGCAGGGTCACGTTGTAATGGGAAATAATGCCGTATCACCTTATCAACAAGTCATAGAGAAGACAAAGAGTCTTGCTTTCCGCAGTCAGATGTTGGCAATGAACATAGAGAAGAAGATGAACCAGAACACCAGGAGTGAGGTAAAGAGAGTGGATTATATATGTCAATTAACTATATATAACCTTGCCTTCACAAAGGGAAGGTAGACTTTTTATTAAATCGTTGTTTTCTTAACCACTTGCCCTCCAGAGGATTTACCCCCCCTTTCTTCCTGGCTAGGCCATTTTTTGCGATACGGCGCTGCACTACATTTAACTGACAATTGCACTGTCATGCAACGCTGCACCCAAATAAAATTTGTCCTTTTTATTAACAAATGGAGCTTTCCTTCAGTGGTATTGGATCACCTCTGCGGTTTTTGTTTGCGCAATTTAAAAAAAAAAAACATTTTGAGGGAAAAAAAAACAATATTTTTTACTTTTTGCTATTAAACATGTCCTGTAAAAAATAAAATCAAATTTCGGCATAAATTTAGGCCAAAATGTATTCTGCTTCATGTCCCAATACATGTAAATTAATTGATTTACTTGAAAGTTATAGCACCCACACATGGCGGTATAGATACTGGAATTTTATATATATATATATATATATATATATATATATATATATATATATATATATATATATATATATATATATATTTATATACGTAATGGCGGCGATATAGCGGGACTGTGGTGTTCATTCTGACACTGGAGGAGGGGAGAAACTAATTGTCACTGACATCCCCAGTGACACCAATACAATGATCAGCACTAATAAAAAGCACTGACACTGCACTAATAACACGGCAGGAGGGGGTTAACATCTGGGGCGATCAAAGGGTTAACTGTGTGCTGTGTTTTTTGGTTTTTTTTTTTTAGTATGCTGTACTTTCTTGTGTAAGCACATTGCTTTGTATTGCTCTGCTAGGTGCAGGCACTGACAGGGGAGAGATCTGTATTGTTTACGTACAGGTCTCTCCCCCATCGGTGATACATGGCGATCTCCAGGTGCTAGCCAGCGGCGGCGTGGGAAGGGCATATATGTGTGATTTTGCGCACCCCCTGCTGCCCTGTTGCATTATTTCTGGGGAAAGTGGTTAAGCGGCCTTATTGTTCTTTTCCTCATGTTATTATTATTATTAAGTGTTCCTGCATGGCAAGATCACTTACTGTTATCTCACATATATATTCTTATTATAGCCAAATTTACCACCCTAACTCCTCCCACAGTTTTTACACTACATAGACAGTAATATACCGAAATGTGCGGATTGTTCCCGATTGGCGTGCTATTGCTTTGTGGAACGTTTCGCCGAATGGTTCACAAAATATCGCCGTTTTTGTGGTGAAATTGGTCCCATAAGAATGAATGGCGGAATGTTCAAAACTAGAGTGTGAGCTGACAAAAGCTAGAGTGTGAGCTGAACACAAGAACACTTCACACAATTTCCCCAGAAATTGTAGCTTTTCTAGTTATTATTATACAGTATTTATATAGCGCCAAAAGGTTTGCTCAGCGCTGTACATTATAGTGGGGGACAGTACATGAGACAATACAGTAACAAAACAAAACACGAGGGGTGCGAGGGCCCTGCTCTTTCAAGTTTACAATCTATCATTGTTAAAGTAAACCAGTCATTACAGAGATACAAGGCAGCCTTTCCAGACTTCTTGAACATTCCTGGTCAGTAATTTGAGCCTGTGCGTGCATATGCGCACAAATACGTGCATATGAACATTAAATGTTCATGGATTTTTCCTAGGAATATATTCTGCACTAGAATGCGCATGCAAGCATATATGCTCAAAACACATGCCTGAAATTACGTCCAGAAATGCTCAAACATCACTACCGTGTGCAAGAGGCCTTAGAGTTGCTCCTGACTTTCATGCTGAAATGCCCCTGGGAAGAATGGAGAGATGCACCAATCTCTCCATAGTGCCTTCTATTCCCTGCTGTACTCTTCTGCTCAGAACATCACACTTTCTTTGCCTTGGTGCTATGCATGCTAATTAACCATTAGCCGCCCGGCCAATGGCCGTTTGGCGGCTTCAAATGTGTTGCTGCATTCCGGATGCACGCCATTTGGCGTGCTCCCGCACATGCGCAGTTTGCGCTAATGCAGAGCGGCGCAGCTGCACGATCTGTCACCGGCCGTGCACCTCGGACACGGCCGATGACAGATCCGAGTACCGGCTCCCGTTGCTGGTACCATGTGACCTGCTGTGACCAATCACAGCAGGTCACATGACAGTTGTATACAATGGATGGCTTCATTCATGCCATCCATTGTATACTAGTGCCTAGCTGTGAATGGTCACAGCTAATCACATGCACATGTCATGTGATTAGCTGTGACCAAATCACAGCTAAGCACAAAAAAAAAAAAAAAAAAAAAAGCTGAATGAATCGATTTCATTCAGGTAAATGCTTGCTTATAGCAAAGTAATTCTTTGCTATAAGCAAATTGTGTAAAAAAAAAAAAAAAAAAAAAATACTGATCACTTCCCCAAAGTAGTATAATGTTACTATGGTAACATTGTACTACTTTGGTCATAGTAAAATATGAAAAAAAAATCTTAAAAAAAAATGTAATAAAAAATTAAAAATAATAAAAAAAAAACAAAAATTAAAAAAAAATATATATATATATTCATACTGTCACCAGTCAGTGTCCCTGATCACCGCCATGCCAGTTATATGATGACGCTGTACTGCACTGGTGACAGTATGTAAAAAAAAAAAAAAATAGTGAAAATAATTTTTTTAATTTTTTAATTTTCCGAAAAATTATGACAAAAAAAATACAACTTCAAAAAACTCGCCATTCCTCTTATGTAGTACGTCGGACTGTCTACTCTGCAAAAAGGGGTCATTTGGGGATATCTGTACTATTCTGACATTCTTGGACCTCAAGAAATTAGATTGGCTGTCAGTACTTCAGGATTGATCAATTTTCAGATATATACCATAGTTTGTGAACTCTATAACTTTCCTACAAACTAAATAATACATCCTAATTTGGGTTATTTTCACCAAAGACATGTAGCAGAATACATCTCGGCCTAAATTTATGAAGAACAATTATTTATTTGTAAACTTTTGTAACAGAAACAAAGAAAAATGTGTTTTTTTTTCAAAATGTTTGGTCTTTTTTTGTTATTTTAGCAAAAAATAAAAACCCCAGCGGTGATTAAATACCACCAAAAGAAAGCTCCTAGTTGTGTGAAGAAAATGATAAAATTTTAGTTTGGGTACAATGTTGTATGACCGCGCAATTGTCATTCAAAGTGTGAGAGCGCTGAAACCTGAAAAATGGCCTGGGCAGGAAGGTGTAAAATTGCACGGTATTGAATTGGTTAAATAGGGCAGAGTCAATTTTTACATTTTTTTTTTTTCCCAGAAGTTTATAGCCTGTTAGGGCAGAGCTGTGTGAACAGCATCTCTTCAAAAGTATGTCATCCTCTGCTTCTTGTGGCTTGTCAAGTAGGGCTAGACTCGCTGTATCTGGGAACCGTTTATCCAGTTAATTCAAAACAGAATTTATAGCGGAGAGAGTTGGGATCCAGAGTACCAGCTTAGAATCTCTGTTAATGAAATCTTTTATTTTATTGGAGCTTACCCCTCTTTGAATCTATGCCACCCTGAGAGTTTAGAGGCCTGGACGTAAGGAAATTGACATATGTGGTCACTTGAGAAAATCCGATGACCAAATAAGAAGTGCTTGAGCAGATGTGGCATTCAACATGCATATTGGTCCACATAAATATGGCCAGTAAATGAATAATGCTTTCAGGGTTCCTTATCACTTATGCACCATTGCAGTGACTGTGTACTATTATTATTATTATACAGTATTTAGATAGCGCCAATAGTTTGCTCAGCGCTGTACATTATAGTGGGAGACAGTACAGTAACAATACAATGCGATACACGAGGGGTTCGAGGGCCCTGCTCCTTGGAGCTTACAATCTAGGATGAGATGGTATAGACTTCCTCATATAATTCATGTACACTGGAATGTGGACTGCTCCAAAAGTGAAGATGTGTCTGTAAGTACAGTGATTTATAGGACTTTATTTTAGGATACAAATATTGTGGAGAACAAAAGTGTTTAATTTGTTTTTTTTTTTTTTTTTTAGGCTCCTAATTGGGCAGCCCAAGACAGCGGATTCTATTGATGAATGTATCAGAACATCTAAATATTCCTTTGCTAGCTGCAGCAGTGTGCTTTCTCTTACATGTCCTACTGTAAGATTGATGTACACAGTATTTTGAATAAAATTGGTCTACTTCCTTTTATCTGTGACTAAGTTTGATTTTTTTTTTTTGTTCTTTAAGAATCTTACTCCTATCAGTCATAACGTTAGAACCACTGACAGGTTAAAGTGTTACTAAACCCGCAACAGTAAAATCCATCTTTATATACAGTACATCATGCTGGTTATACTCACTGTGGAACCCAAGGAGTTAATCCTCTGCATTGTGTAAAAAGGCGGTTTGATCCTGTCTTCTCTGATCCCCCCCTTCTTCCAGGTCCTCTCTCTTATCTCCTGATAAGGAATATGGTGTGGAGTCACTCTGCAAATGCTCAGTTTGTGTATTGATAGAGGGTTTTTTTTTCTCCTTTTGGAGGGTGCATGTGATCAGCACAGGGCCAATCAGCACTGTCCAGACATAGGTCAGGGGTTTTGCATCCTCCTACGGCAGAATTAAAACTCCTCCTACAAGCTTTAATAGAAGTCACAAGACTGCTCTAACTGCTGATGAGAAAAGGTATTTAGCAGTTTATATTTACAAAATAAATTGCACTTCCATGTTCTGTGTACTGTGAGAGACCAGATATAGTGAATGCAGGGTCCTGGGTTTAGTAACACTTTAGGTGAATAACATTGATTAATTTGTTGCAATGGCATCTGAAAGTCGGTGGGATATGTTAGGCATCAAGTGAACATGTTGCCCTAGAAGTTGATGTGTCGGGAAATAAAATGGGCATCTCAGTTTGTTTTGTGGGGCTGTGTAGCTGCTAGATCCTGTTTGTACATTGGGGTGCCATCCAAAATGAATAGCACCACAATGCATGGCATATTATTCACTGTGTGCACAATTATTAGGCAAAGTGTATTTTTGAGGATTAATTCATTATTGAACCACTACA